GAAGTTCAAGTTGAAAAACACTTTTGTTTATGCGCAACCTATATATGTATGGATTCTGCTCGAAAATGTTTTCAAAAAATTCAAGTGGGGGATTGTTGGAACAACAAGTGTGTAGTGTGTGAATTTTGTGAAAAAACTCAAAGTCCCACATTGGTGGGAAATGAGAGTTTTACTCTCTTTATAATATAGAGAGTGGGCTAAAGGGGTGTGGCCCTTGGGCTACCCACATTTTGTGGAGAGGGAGGACCTATATGGTAAACCATATATCACACACACGCGCGCCGAACCGAACCGAGCCGAGCCGGGCTGGGCTGGGTCGGGTCGGGTTTGGGTTTGGGTTTGGGTTTGGGTTTGGGTTATTAAACAAACTTAATTTTTGTTACCGGTTTGATTAATATTCAGTTACAAAACGTTTTACTGTTTTGGTTTAAATTTTTCCGTTACATTGCTTGATTCTCGTTGCTGATTTACTGCTAAACGTTGCACCGTTACACTGATTTAATGCCTTGATTCTTGCTTAACGGATACACTAATTGCAGTAAACGTTGCTAATCTTTCTCCCGTTTTCATGCTTAAGCTGTTACGTATCTTTACCTATAAAAGGACGGTTCCAGCTTTGTTTTTAAACACACGAAAAAATACAGAAAACCACTTTGCAAAATATATTTTCTCTTCCTCTCAAAACAGTCGAGCAGTTTCTTTCTGATTTTCTGGTGTTCCGTTGTCCGGTGGTTCGGTGCAAAACCGCCGGTATTTTATACTTGTGAAAGACTGTTTTATCCTGGGGGCATCCGGTTTGGTACGAGCTGCTTGCACAAGTTTGAGGCAGTGCCGCGAATGTTCTAAAGAGAGCGACATAGTCCGCGACTCAGTCTTATTCTCGGTAACATTGTTCTTACTATTTTATTTGTGCAATTCCGTTTATAACACTAACCACATTGTTGGTGGAGCAATCCACCTAATGAAGACTTCATCTCCAGGCTTAGCAGTGCCCTCAGTTGTGCCTAAGGAAAAAGTTTTCCATGTTTCTTCAATTTGTGAGCGAAGAAAGGTGCCTGTTTCCATAGGAATTTCATTTCTTCTGCCAAACACAAAATTATTTCTCCATTTCCAAATCCACCACAATGTGATAGCAAAACAAGTCGGCCATTTCTCTGAGAAAATTAAACCCTCAGCTTCCAGATTTTTGCTAATCCATTTAATATCACCAGTGTATAAAGAAGGATAAAAAGCCGTACCTCCAACACTATTCCATATTTTTCTAGCCACAGGACAATCCCGAAACAGTTGCAACAATGTTTCATCAGCATTGAGTGAGCAACGGTGGCAGGAGGATCATCAGCTAGGTGTCTTTTCATACGGTTAGTATTACAGAGAAGTCAGTCATGAAGGGCAAGCCATATAAAGGTTCTAATTCTCTGCTGCACTGGAATTTTCCAAGCTAATTCCCACCTATGATCAGATGGAATTTGATCATCCTCCCTCATAGTTTTCAAAGCATATTTGATTGAAAATTTACCTTTATTCGGTCCTTTCCAATATCTCAGATCACCTATATCAGGGTCTTCAATAAGAGAGTGAGAAGCGATTTATTTAAGGTATAGTTGAGGTAAAAGATGAGAAAATAAGTCCCAACGCCACCCATCTCCAACACACCACATCTCATTGACAGTAGCTCCTTCGATGGAGTCAGGAATGGCAGCCACACTAACATCCCGAAGAGGTTTATCCGATGCCCAATAATGATCCCAGAACAGAGTTTTCTTACCATTACCAATGGCAACTCTTGACCCTTTTCTCAAAAGCGCAGCATTGTCAACCATACCTCTCCACACATTCGACATGTTGGATATGGGTTGAAACATATCGATGTCACACCTCCCTTTGCAATACTTATGGCGGATTACTCTAGACCAAAGAGAGTTAGGCTCTGAAAGAACTAGGGGTGGCAAACGGATCAGGTCGGGTCATATTCGTGTTCGGGTCATTTCGAGTTCGGGTTGAAACCCCCTGACCTGAACCTGATCTGTTTAGCATTTCTGGTCGAAGTTCTTGACCCTAACCTGATTTATTCGGGTTCGGGTCAACCCGAAGTTGACCTTATTCAACCTGATTTTTTTTTTTTTTGGGTAGATTAAAGAAAAATTTATTACCAATAAAAATCTTAAAAACAAAAAGAAATCAATGCAAGTTGAATCTCAACTTTAAATTTGTAAATCATAAATAAATTTAAATGTAATAAATTTACAACCAAAACTTCCAATTAAAGGGATTTGAAACTTAAATTTACAACAAAATTTTAACTTCTCAAAATCCTTCACATGCTGGTTTGCTGTTCGTTCTTTCCTGCAAACAATAACAAAAACACATTAATAAATATTCAAGTCATCAATTTAGATTATATAAAATACAAAATCAACTTTCAATAATATGTATATTCAATTCTAAAACAATTCAAACCATAAACACTACGACAAAGTAGTAGAAAGTAGATGCAATTTTCACCAATTTCATAAATAGCCATCTTAATATAAGAAATATCAAATCAAACAAGTAGATCTAGATATTAAAATACAAGCTAAGAACATCTAGATGTAAAAAAATTAATAACTAATGATGAATTCGAATATAAACAGCAAATGACTTCGAAATTAAACAAAAATTAACATGTTAAAAACGAAAAAAAAAAACCTGAAAGCATGTAAATAAATTCAAGAGGAAAATTACCTTGAGATGATGGAGAAGGTTAAAGGAATGATTGTAGGACTGATAGAAAGGAGTGAAGGAGACACAAGTGAGGCAATGAGACAAGGAGAGAGGAAGAAACTGAAAAACGGCTGTTTGCCTGTTTCAGAAGGAGAATGTGAGGGTTTTAGGGTTTTTCTCTTTTATTAGGTGGATTTTTGGGCTTGGGCTTAAGAGTTATTTTCGTTTTTTCTTGTTCGTTTTTTTTTTTTTTTTTTTTTTCCGGGTTAGATGGGTCATTTTCGGGTTGAAAATTTCAACCTTAAACTAACCCATTTAATTATCAGGTCGGGTTCGTGTCGACTCATTTAAGTTTTCGGGTCAGAAATCTCAACCCAAACCCGCTATTTTCGGGTCGGGTCAGTTTTTGCCAGCCCTAGAAAGAACTCTCCATCCTAGCTTAGTGAGAAAAGCCGAATTAGCCTGTCTTGCCGAGCGAATACCAAGTCCTCCTTTATCCCTTGGTAATTGAATAGTTTCCCAAGAGAGGAGGTGTATACGACGCCCTTCCTCCGATCCTCCCCAAACAAATCTACGGGCCTTCCCATCAATATCATCACAGATTGTTCTTGGGAGCTTCATTCGCTGTTTGCATCGAATAGTTCGCCATGGTTGTGAGGGTAGACTTGGTGAGAGTGATACGGCCAGCGAGAGATAGATATTTTGTTTTCCATCCCGTTAATCGGCGATCAATTTTCTCACATAGGTGGGCATAGGTATCCCTTGTTACCCGACTTGTCAAGGTCGGCATCCCAAGGTATAATCCTAAATCCTCTGTAATTTCCATTCCCAGAGCTGCGCTTATGTCCTACTGGTCAGTGGCAGTGATGTTTTGTGAGAAGTATACTCTCGACTTAGGGAGACTGACCCTTTGTCTTGAGGCCGAGAAAAAGCGGTCGAGGCAGTCTTTAATAATTGTTGCTTGCTGTACAGAAGCTTCAGCAAATAATATGAGATCGTCGGCGAAGAAAAAATTCGACAACAAAGGTCCCCCACGACTTGCATACACTGGTTTCCATCGGCCTTCGAGAATTGCCTCTTCAATAACTAAATTGAGCCTCTCCATACAAAGAACAAAGAGGTAAGGCGAGAGAGGATCACCTTGACGTATTCCTCGGGACGGTGAAAAAGAATCGGTTTTTTCCCCATTCCAAAGCACCCTCATTGATGGAGTCGTCACACACTCCATTATAACCTCTATCATCACCATGGGAAATTGCATCTCCATAAGGGTATCTTTGATGAATGCCCAATTAAGCCTGTCATAAGCCTTCTTAAAGTCTATCTTAATTGTCATATAACCCTTTCCGCCTTTCTTGCGCTTCATAGTATGTGGCACTTCTTGAACAATCACGATATTATCCGTGATTTGACGACCCGGCACAAAGCTAGATTGAGAATCGGCAATAAGTTTAGGAAGCACCAATTTGATTCGATTCACTATAGCCTTCGTTATTATTTTGTAGGCCACATTACATAGACCGATAGGTCTAAATTGTGAAGGCTGCTCCGGGTTGTCAAGTTTTGGTATGAGGACAATAAACGTCTCATTCAAGCAGTCAGGTAGTCCTTTTCCCTCCAAGGCATCGAGCACCATAGCATACACATTTGGAGAAACAACTTCCCAATTTTTCTGAAAAAACAAAGCTTGAAAGCCATCGGGCCCTGGGGCTTTAAGAGAGCCCATATTGTTGATAACATAATCAATATCACACTTGGTATAAGGCCTTGACAGTAAGTTTAAATCCATTTCAGAAAGTTCAGGGCATACTCCTCTAGGGATATTATACACTGTACTAATCCCCTCATCAGAAAAAAGAGAGGCAAAATAATTAACAACAATTGATTTTACCTCCTCTTTGTCATATACCCACTGATCACTGCTATTTTTTATAGCAACAATTTTGTTTTTCCATCTCCGAACAACCGTGCTAAGTTGGAAAAAGGTAGTATTACGATCTCCATATTGCAACCAATCTACCCTTGCCTTTTGATACCATAGAATTTCTTCTTGGTTGAGGACGGTGTCAAGCTCCCTTCGCAAGGTAGCTTCTAATTTAATTAAGCCCGATTCTCTTTTTTGCGCAAGTTTCGATTGAATGCCCTGAATCCTGGCCATTAATCTCCTTTTTTCTCTGAAAATGTTATGAAAAATATTTTTGTTCCAATCCTGCAGTTCATTAGAGAAGGAATGCAAGAGAGGGACTAATGGAGCATTTTTATCCCATTTGTTGCAAAGAAATTCCTCAAATTTTTCATGGGATAACTAACCACGCAGCTTGGAAGCGAAAGGGGATGTTTAAGGCCTCAAGCGGGGCAAAACCATTAGGCGAGATAAGGAGAGGGCAGTGATCCGATTGGATGGCAAGAAGGTGCTTCACCCGAGCTTTGTCAAACCGCAAACTCCAATCACCCGTACATAGTACTCTATCAAGCCTTGCACTTCTTCTTGTGTCCATTGAATTTCCCCGAGCCCAAGTGTGAGAAGGCCCCGAGAATTCAACCTCAAGCAGTTGATTATCATGCACCCAATGGTTGAAATTACGACTTCTACGAGATGTTTCAGAGCAACTTGAGCTTCGCTCCCAATCAAATCGGGTTTCATTGAAATCTCCAGCTAAAAGCCATGGTTTATTATTTCTTTTTGCAAATTCTGAGAGATCTCTCCACAATTCTTGTCTCTTCGAGGGATCCGGACTAGCATAAATAGTAGAGAAATACCATGGATCTTCACCTACTTTAATTACTGTCATAGTGATATATTGATTGGATTGAGCAATAGGGTCAATTGTTACAAGCTCCGGTTTCCAATAAACCCAAATACCTCCGCTAAACCCTTGAGCATCGACCCTTGTGTGGCCATTGTAACCCAGAAGATTTGCTACATGTTGTGCATGATCACCTCCCATGTGGGTTTCAACTAAAGCAAGTACAATAGGCCTATTAGCCCTGATAATTTCTCTAAGTACTGCCAAAAATTCTCGGTTCCCAGCACCTTGAGCGTTCCATACCATACACGTGATGGGGGTAGGAATCAACATTGAGATTATGATTATTATTCATAAGACCAGGGGAATTTGGGAAGATCGCTGAATAAGCATTAGCAAGGAAACGGAATGCTTGATTAACATCCCATGGTAGCTTCAATGTTATCATCAGTTCCAGCACCATTTGCATCGATGTCGACCATGAGTGTATCTCCGCCTCCAATTTGTGAATCAGGGGGTCGACTATGCCCAAGAATGGGTTCTCCATTGACTCGGTTGCGCATATTATCTTCTCTGGTGGGATTCTCAGGGCAATTGGGTTCCGGTGTGTTTGATACATGGGAGGGTTCATGTGGTGATAGCTCATTGGTGGCGTTGAAGGAGTCAGAGGGGATGGATTCTTTGTTGGCTTGAAAGATGCTTAGAGAATTTTCTTTGCATCTCAATTTGTCAGTAAGGAATTGGAATATTGGAAGAATCTTTCAGAATATTTTGTGGATTATTTTTCGGGATATTTTTTGAATTAGATTTATTTGGTTTCCTTATCTCCTGCCAATTCTTAGCTCCACCTAGCAATTGACCACCTAATTTGGGATTGGGTGTATCTTTTCCTAAATTAAAGGAATTATCTTGAATAATAAGATTATCTTGATTAGGAGATCCTGCCAAATCAACTATCTTGCTTGAGGAGTCAAACTTATCATTTTTATTGCCTAAAGAAGTGCCTTGACTCTCTCCCGTAGGATCCACACCTTCCTTATCTTGATTATTCAAAATTGAAAATCTTGATCCCCCTTGATTTTTGCCAGAACCATTGACTTTTTGCTGAATGTTTTTGCGTTGACCACCTTCATTGGAAGCCACCGGAGCTTTGTCTGGTTTGGTCGGCCTTCTTCTTGGTGGTGGTTTTTTTTACCATCATCCACGTTCCATAGTCCTGTTTCTCAATTGTAGGAGCAATTACCTGCTGAGAATTTTGGTTCTGGTCCTCTTCCATCATTTGAGAGTCTGAATTTGTATCATTAAGTGTGCATTGTTCATCATTATGTCCTATTTTTCCACACTTGAAACAAATCATACGCAAGCCCTCGTATTGAATTTGCCACACCCTGCCTTTGAGCTAGAACTTTGATAAAAGAGGCTTGGTTAAATCTAATTCCACGCTTAGCCTAGTAAACTGTCCACTCTGAGCCAAAGCTGTGTTATTATCAATTCTAACCACCTTACCAATTTTACCACCTATTTTGTGAAGGAATTGAGCATCAAAGTATTCCACTGATAGGTGAGGTATACGCACCCAAGCTGTGAGAAATCGCATAGAGGTGTCATCTGGAATAAAATCCGGAACCCATTTGCGGATTGTTAAATAGTTGTCATCCAACATCCATGGTCCCTGAGTTAAGAAAATCTAGCAATGAAATACTCATGCCCAATGTCAGTGAGGACAAGACCACCCTTCAGTTCCCATTTTCTCTTCAATCTCTTCATTAATTAAGGACATGTAACCAATTTTATTATGGAACGTCTTAATTATTAGAGTGTGCTTCCATGCATGGCTTGCGCATTCTGATTTTTTCCTCTTTAGATAAGAGGATTATAGGGCATTTTGGATCATCGATAACTCCTTCTGGCGGTTCATCATCATCTGAGGCATCATCTTCATCAATATGAGGGGCATTCCTATTGATGGTATTAGTCCTCTGCAGTTCCTCATTAGCTACCAAATCCCTAAAGGACATAGGTTGTGGTGCAGGGGAATGTGTTGGTAGAAACACCAAATCACCAGGATTTTCAGAATTTTCCTTAACCAAAATCGGATGATAAATTGTTCTTTTTGGTTTTTTTGTGGAACGATTAAGCAAATCTTGTTCTTCAGTTGTTGAGTTTGGAGGATGAGAATTTTGAGAGAGCATTTTTTTACTATTTTTGATAAAAAAAAATGTCAATCAATCAAGAATCTAATGAATTTCAGCCTAATGATGAGCAGGTCAGATCGTAATAGTTAAATATATGAAAAGCAAATTAGGTAAAATGGCACATGAAAAAGAAAAAAAAAAACCTTATTTCAATTCTTTATACTCCATTTTTATTAGTAAGAACCGTGCATTTGCACGGGACCTAAACTAATTAAGGATACTATATCTGAGGCATGCTCGATTTTTGAAATTAATACTTCCTTCGTTAATGGTTAATTGCAACAAAGGAATATTTTATATATCACAAATAATACCCCTTTGTTGCAATTAACCATTAAAGGAGGAAGTAGTAATTGTATATAAGTCTCTTAAAAATGTAACTTAATGATCATCGCAATACTTGTAATGATGAACGTTTCACACGGTGTGGCCATCCAAACATAAGGGGATTTTTTTTTTTGAAAATATAAAATTGCAATAATTACATGGATAATTTGGAATATGTAAACATATTTTATATGAAAAAAAATGATCTAGTGTATTATGGTAAAATTATGTCAAATAAAAATATTATGGTTCCTCCGCTTGGAAGGAACTTGTCTCCCTCGAAAGAAGAGTTTTTCTCTTAAGAAATATAAGGTTTTTTCTATCTACTTCTAATGACAATGTTTTTCGACCTCATTAAAGATAAGATGTTCTATGCCCTTGGAATAATCTCAGGCTATGCGAGGCTACAATTGATTGTTTGAATTCAAGCTAAAAAAGTTGTATGAGTCAACGAATCGAGAATATGTATGTATGTCGAATTGTTATACTACGTATATCTTATGTATTTCAATTTTTAGCCTTTTCTAGTTAATTCTTATTTGATTTTGTTTTGTTTGTCATTAATTGTTAATTACAGATGTCGTATTACTTTAATCAATGAAAATTAATGTTATTTAGAACTTCTTTAACAAAAAAAAAAAAAAAAAAAAATAGAACACTCAAATAAAAACACGTGCCATAATTGGGTCCGGACGAATCACGGATGGAGTAACAAACTAACAATATTGATAACACATTCAGAGAGTTGAAGACCTCCATAACTCCTCTTTGAACTTCTCTTTTTATCTCTGGATTTCAAAATTTGTTTCTTCAATTCCCTTAAATTTCAAGAACCGAAAATGATGAATATGAAATTTGTAACTAGCCTAATTATAATTTTGGTATCATTTGCGTTGTCCAACAAATATCATACCATTCTTAAAACAAATACAAATACATCGCATTCAAATTCAAATATTGTTCGATTTCTACTTGGCTTCCCTGGAATTCTCCCTTTCAATCTTCAAACTGGGTATGTTCTTTTATTTGTCGATTACTTCCTCTGTAAATTTAATGCTTATATGTAACCGCTATGTATAACATTTTCCTTTTTTTAATTACATTATTTAGATATTTATGCTTGTTAATTCATACTTTATGCTACAAATTATATGAAAAAAGTAGATTTTTTTTTTTTTTTTTACAAAAGAAAAAAGTAGTTAATTTATGAATCTTTGGTTAAAATTGTTTTTTACACAACTATACATTCAAAATTACTTTAAAACTCTATCTATTTGTGGTTCAAAAAAAATATATAACTACTTGTACTTAAGCTCATATACTCTTATGTAGGGCCGAGCAAAACTACTCGAAAAACCGAAAACCTGAAAAACCGATCCGTAACCGTTCTGAAAATTTGGGTACTCGATCCGATAACTATAATGGTTCGGGTACCCGTTCCGATAATTTGTTATCAGGTATGGTTATGGGTATCATTTTAAAATTAACGGTTACCCGATCCGATCCGATAAGCATTTTTTTTTGTTTTTCTTTCCTTACTTAAATCAATTAATATAAATCTAAACTTTTACTTTACTTTATAATCACTTTATAATATCAATGATTACTAATATTATTAATAATTTGATCAAGATCATATGGTATTGTTGTTAATTAGTTGTAAATTATATCATAATAACTATATAATTAAGTTTAATTATCATTATTGGATATCTTATTGGGTACCCGATAACCGATCCGAAAATCCGGGTACCCGAAGTCCAGGTACCCGAACTTATCGATTCCGGTTATGGGTATCACTTTTAGTGATTTTGGTTATCGGGTACCCGAACCGTTAGTACTAACGGTATGAGTACCCGTCCCATGCTCACCCCTAGTAGTCTTATGCATATTGATTTTTTTTTTTAATTTTTTTTTCACTTTTTTTTTGGTATTATATTTTGAAATGGTGAATTGTTTTTTTTACCTATGAAGTGTACATTGAATTACAAAGTAGATGAGAAATTTGATTGAGAATTTTTTTTTTTTATATATTTTGTTTATGGCGCTATCTTAAAAAAAAAAATGTACAGTTTGGAGAGAGGATAATTATAGCTATTTTTTTCTATACTAATAGACTAATGGTTAATAGATTAGTTCATAACTCTTTAAAATAACAAAATCATTGATGAGTTGGGTAGTAGATCATATCATTAGCCATAGATACGAAGTATTTTATTTTAATTTCCTCCAAAAATAAAGTATTTTATTTAAATTGAAAGACGTACCAAATCATTACACATTTTATTCATTTAATGTGATCTTTTGTGCGCGGCTGTATGAAAGAGTGGTGTTAAGACTGTGAACCATTCTTTTGCTAATTTGTTAAACTTGTCTATTTATATTTTCAATAATTGTTTTGTTAAATTTAATAACTATACAATTATAAAATTTGGTCACATAACATGAAAGGGACATAGAGTAGGCATAGCATGACACGCTATTGTACAATAAGTTACACTATGAGGAATTCATAACATGACACAAGCACGTTAAAATATGTTGAATTCAATTTAGGCACGCAAGAACAACATGATTGCATATGAGTTTAAGCCATGCTTAAGTGGTTGGGTTTTGTGTTGTCATGGCTACATGCCTACATTGATAAATAACTTTGTTAGATTAGGAATTAGAATTTTAACACACTTATATTGATAAATAGTTTGGTAAGAATGACTATTTTATCAGAAGTTCCTTAGTTTTAATGACAAAATTTGAGTGTCCTAAAAAAACAAAATTTGAGAC